GTACTGAATTATCGTGCCCTTATGCACCAAAGTTGGTCTTGTGAAATTCGTCATATCTATCGTAAAAGAATTTTGTTGCTGATGATTTGACTCGTTTGAGTTTGTCATGCAATTTGGGTTCAGTGTTTTTTTAGCAAGCTCATCCTTTTTGTCATCAATTGCTAGTTGCATATATAGCTGAGGACTCGTGATATTTGAAAACGCGAACAATTAGCCTTCAAAACCAGATTTGCCTTCAAAACGAAGCTGTAGTCAGCCCAAGCCTTCATCCCTCTCGAGACAAGCCTTCATCCCTCGCAGGATAAACCTTCACTCAAACCTTTGTTATAGCTCTGCTACCTTGTTCAACCTTGCTGTAGTATCGATTCACCTTTTGTAATCTCTCTCTCTATAAAGCTTTCAGACCCTTGATAAACTATAAAGATAGGAACCTGCAAGACGATCAGCCTTACCCGACAAGGTTAAACCTTGCCCGACCTTCTTTGTTTTTGTCTTTTCATTCATTAGCCTAGCAATATGTTGTATACTTCCAGTTATATTCAAGTTATTTCTAGCAAGATGACTATTAAAAGGTTTTCTTAGTACTCGGATCCGATTTGAATATATCTTCAGTGTTCAAACCAGATCCAAGTCCTAAGCCCTCGGGCATGCAAATCTGATTAGTTAAAAGTCTTTGGCCTTAAGGCATAAAAAAGAACCTTATGTGAACTTAACCCATCCACGACAATCCTTGAGAAACGAGAAGTCCGAAATTACTTGGGGCGCAAGTAATCGACCTACCTCTTAGTCTTATTTCTATTACATTATGATTATCATATAACGCTTAAGCATGGAATGGATTCTGATAGGAAGCCTCAAGGCCTACACCTAAGGCCTCACGAAGGCACCTATTTGGATTCATTCCGTTCTGCGGTCTAGAACGTTTGAGCATAAGAACGAACTCTAATGGGAAGCCTCAAGGCCTACATCTAAGGCCCTACAAAGGCACCTATTTGGGTTCATTCTACCTCTCGGACTCGGGTAATCAGAAGTATAATAGTTATAAGACTCATGCAATCACGAGAACAAATATGATGTGTTCGAGCACTGGTTTAGTTATTGATAGGAAGCCTCAAAGCCTACACCTAAGGCCCCACGAAGGCACCTATTTGGATTCATTCCGTTCTGCGGTCTAGAACGTTTGAGCATAAGAACGAACTCTAATGGGAAGCCTCAAGGCCTACATCTAAGGCCCTACAAAGGCACCTATTTGGGTTCATTCTACCTCTCAGACTCGGGTAATCAGAAGTATAATAGTTATAAGACTCATGCAATCATGAGAACAAATATGATGTGTTCGAGCACTGGTTTAGTTATTGATAGAAAGCCTCAAGGCCTACACCTAAGGCCCCACAAAGGCACCTGTCATAACTAACACGGTTTCTCGGGTATATACATATATACAACTAAGACTCGACATCCATTTCACATCTGCCATACTGAAGATGGCAGTGGCATGCCTGAGCACCTAAAAGTTAACCTTGATTGTGAGCCTCAAGGCCTACACCTAAGGCCCCACAAAGGCACCTCTCAAAGTTAACTCTGTCCTTCTTTTTCAGCCTTACCTGACGAGCCTTGCCCGAAGAGTCTTGCCCGACAAGACTTGCCCGACGAGACTTGCCTGACAAAGCCCGACAGTGAAGCAGAAGCCCGACAGCAGCCCTCAACCGGCGCCAACCTCCCAGGGAGCTGTGTGCTCGTCGGCCAGGAAACATCCCCGACGGAAATTCCTGACGCGAACAATATATATATATATAGGCGATTTCACACGTTTTTGAAAATTTGACGCGTACATCTTGTGGCGGCGGGGATCGGGTGCGTGCCGACCTATTACAATTGGGATCTACAAGCCATTTGTTTGAAACTGTGGGCTGTCAACAGCGAATAAGATGTGGAAACGTGGAAAGAGATAGTGAGGTGGGGCGTAGGGGATTTGTATGGACAAAAGGTGAAGATTTGTGCTGGCCTGAAAGGGGAAAGTTAAAAGGATTCGAATCCGTAACGATACAGATACAGTTGGGTTTGGGAGAATAGGATTACCAGTTACCTGATTTCGCGCGTGGATTAATTAAGTAAAATAAAATTTTTGTTTTCAAATCGGATTTGGGATTTTGTTTCCCGAATTTTGATGGGAGATGAAATCGCGTAGATAAATATCCAAAACAAGTGATGTATATGCATAGGTCAACTATTTAAATAACTGAGGTAAGCACCCATGTCTCATTTTCTTGTTCTAGAAAAAGTTTCGTGTAATTTATGCTACGAAATGGGTTCAAATTTTGACCCATATTAAAAATAGTTGTTTTATTAAAATATGTTCGATTCTTTGAGTTTAGGACTATTTTATTACTAATAATCATCGCTTTAAAATGTAGCATACGAATTAAACCTCCTTCTAATTATCTCTTTAATTATTTCTTCTTATAGCCCTATTCATATATGTTATTTCTTAATTGTATTTATCTATCAATATGACATTTTTTTTTTTGTAATCAAACATGTGTTCATGGACAGAGCCACCATGGGTTAGGGGGCAGATGCCCCCACTCATTTGGTTGCAAAAAAAATGAACATGCTTCTGACATTAGCAAAGTGTATCACTAGTTTATTTGCTTGTGATATTAGCATTAATCGTTCTAATTGATACTGCACATTTTCACCCAAGAATTTTGGAAGAATAGATTGAGAAATCAAATAGGTGACTAATGGATAAATGATAACATGATTATTTTTTTTATAGATAGAGAGATATTTGATTGTGTTAGTAATGAAGTTGTCATGCAACGCTTTTAAAATATGAAAATGAGTCGAGGGATATTGTAATGAAATTTTTTATGTATTAATATATAAGTATTTGGTTTAGTAATTCTTTAGCTTTTTTAATTTGTGATTTTATTGTTTAAGTATTGCCCCCATCCATTGAATCTTTGGCTTTGTCTTTGCATGTATCACAAATTAATTTTAATAAGCACTACGTAGTGTCCTTCTCTTTGTTGAGAATGTCTAAATAGCCTCATTATCTTTCCACTAAATCTCAATTCGATTCGCTTTGTTGAAAATACTGCTGGGTAGTGAATGCCCACAGTACCTTGGAAGACTTTCCAATTCTCACACAGAATGGGTTTTCAACTTTGGCATAAGTTTTCAATACCCATGAAAATGGAAATTAACTTTGGATGCAGGAGATCGTTTTTCTACATTGGGTGTTGTAAATGTCAAATTGTAATAATACGAGTTGCTCTATAAATAGAGCACTCGAATGCAATAAAAAAAAAACATACAGAGAGACTCACGGTAGAGAGAGAGAGGAAAGAAGAGGATAGGAGATAATAGAGAGAGTTATCTTTGTACTCTTATTATTGCAGATTACAATGAAAGCATCACTGCTGCCCCGAATATGTACTTCAGTCACACTGACTGTAGAGGAACCTCGTAAATTTTGTGTCCTGTTTATTTATTCCACTGCACCCACTGTCGATTTTACAACACGTTATCAGCACGAAAAGCTCTCATGTTAGTGGAAAGCACAACGACATAAATCCGGTGAAACATTACCTACCTCCCACCTCTGCTAGCCAAAAATCTCACATAATAAAATGTATGTCCATTTTCTGTATCTCCCACCGCGCCAGAAGCGCCCCATTGAATTTCGGTGAGAATTGAAATTTACAACGACCTGTAGTCGTCACGAGATAAGAAAACTCGTACCTGACAATTGGTTTCCAGAGATCCAGAAGAATCTCATCAGGCTTGGAAACCCAGATCGCGTCATTTTCGACGGATCTCGAGAACTCCCATGAATACTCGGTTGTCTGAGATGGTGATGGCAAGACTGACTCCACACAGGCCTCCCTCTGTTGTACCTTCATCAACCCCGCTGTTATCTATGTTACAAGGGAGAGGTCAACTTCATTCGTGTTGGCAATGTCCTCAGAAACTCATTAAGGGCATAGGTTTCTGATTTTTGTGCTAATCTTGGTCGGGGTGAGATTCTATGTATTGAAGTTTGAGGTGTTTTTATTGGGCTACAACTTGCATGGAATAATGGAATTAAGAAGATTATGGTAGAATCAGATTCTACTCTTGCGGTTCAATTGATTTCAAATGCAAAACTGGATAATGACCCTCTTGGAAGTTTAGTACTGAATTGTCGTGCCCTTATGCACCAAAGTTGGTCTTGTGAAATTCGTCATATCTATCGTAAAAGAATTTTGTTGCTGATGATTTGACTCGTTTGAGTTTGTCATGCAATTTGGGTTCAGTGTTTTTTTAGCAAGCTCATCATTTTTGTCATCAATTGCTAGTTGCATATATAGCTGGGGTCTCGTGGTCTCGTGATATTCTATTGTAATCTTCCTTTTCTTTCGGGTCTATGCCCTGTTGTCAACAAAAAAAAAAAACTTTAACAGTGCAAAACAAATGTTTAAGAGGAAATTGTAGCAATAGACCCTCTAACCCAATTAGAGTAATGATCCCTTTACTAAAAATTCATGACCATTGATCCCTTAACTTATCAAAACATATAGCTATATTTTAACAAACAACATAGTGTCTAAAAGATGTGTTTGCTGATAGTAGATTATTACTTAAACATTAATTAACATCTTTATATTTTATTAATGATATATTATTTAATTTACAAATTTAATTTTTTAAACGTTAATATCTCTAGCATTATCTTTAATAAATAAATTAACGTAATACTATACAATTTAGGACATGACTACCACGTGTAGGTGGCACCCACTCCAAACAACTTTTCACATCACATGCGTCAAAAGTTCACTGCTTCCCAAAAGGTGTCGTCAAAGTCACACCAATTCCACCGTCTCATTTCCCACCTTCACCGCCGTACTCCCGCCCGCACCCGATCTGCCCCAATGCACACTCCATTTCTACCCCTCGGATTCCGAATCCAGTCGTATAAAGAGGACACGTCGGGAGAGGTAAAAAGGCGCAGAACACTAAAACCCCGACCAAACCTTTTGACGTAATAAATAAATAAATAAAAATATTTAATATTCTCTCTTCTTCTTATTATTTTGTTACCAAATAAAACATTGGGAATTTCCCTCATCAAATCTTGCAACCCGGGATTTCTAGGGTTTCTGGTTCGATCGATTTCTCGATTTCTCAGTCGCGGGTGTTCGCCGCTCCTCGCTCACGAACGCCGCTGGCTGTTTCCGATTTGTCGGTTTCCTTCCGATCTCTCTGTACAACTCTGAAATGTGACCGATATTGGGTGAGTTAACTCAAAGCTTCTTTCTTTTTCCCAATTGTTCAGAATTTTTTTTTTTCGATTTGTTGGTCATTAGAAGAAAATCGTGGATTTGGGTTTTGGTTTATTTGCTCGGAATTTTTTTATTTTTTATTTTTTTTGCCTTGTGATTGAGTTTTAAATTTTACTTGTTGGATTTACTGGGTATAATGTAGTCGCGGAGTTGAGTGAGATTTTCGTCTGTTTTTTTTACTCGAAATTTGATTCTAAGACAGTTGAATTCTCTAGATGTTGGATTTCTATTCTGGGTAGCCAAAAAAATGTGTAATTTAGTTGATTGAACTGAATTTTGTATTGCTTTTTTTGTTTTGATGCGAAAAACAAAAAGAAATTTTGGTTATGTAGGAACAAAACCCAGAAGCGTGAATTGCCATTACAATGTACTGATTTTGTGCTTCTGGATTAAAGTAGTTTGTTACTCTGAATTGATGAGGAAGAAGAGGAAAGGCGGTGAGGCTGACCCGTACCCAGATCCATTGGAAGATGTGACATCACAGGCGGAAGATGTGACATCGAAGTCATGCAATTCTAGATCATCGGCCCTTACATCGCATTATTCTCTAGAGGATTTTACAAGGTTGAAGAAGCGGTGCAAAGAAGATGATGCAAGCACTGAACCTGTGGTGTCGCATACAAGTAGGCTTGCAGGCATTGCCACTGCTCCGCCATGTGGGACTTCGTCTTTGGTTGCACCTGGAAGAGGTATCAAGAGGAAGATAGGGTGTATAGATGTTGCTACCCAGATGGGTAGGAAGAATAAGATTGAAGAAGATTATGTTTCGGGTGAAACACTTGGGCATGGAAAGTTTGGGTCGGTTTGGTTGTGTCAGTCCCGGGTTAGTGGTGCAGAGTATGCATGTAAGACTCTGAAGAAAGGGGAGGAGACTGTTCATAGGGAGGTGGAGATAATGCAGCATTTGTCTGGTCATCCTGGGGTTGTGACATTGCAGGCTGTGTATGAGGAGTTGAATTGTTTTCATCTTGTGATGGAGTTGTGCTCTGGAGGGCGCCTAATTGATCAAATGATTCAGGAGGTTCAGTATTCAGAGCAACGGGCTGCTAATATATTCAAGGAAGTAATGCTAGTTATCAAGTACTGTCATGATATGGGGGTAGTGCACAGAGACATAAAGCCAGAGAACATACTTCTCACAAAAGCAGGAAAAATAAAGCTAGCAGATTTTGGGCTGGCTATGAGAATATCAAATGGTGAATACCTTACCCCTATTTCAAGGATATTATTATTTTCTACTTTTTTACTGTATGTTTTTGTTTTTCTTAACTGTTTTCCGATCGTAGAGCATCCTGATTCTCTATAAAATGTTTTAAAATCCATGTTCATATTATCAACAACTATCATGAGCACACTGTAAGGGTGTGAGGATAGGGTCAGTCAAGGAAGACTTTTTTATTTTTTATTTTTTTAGAATGTAGCATTCTTAGTAAGATGGTACCTTTCAGTTACATTTAACCTCACACAATAATGAAATATTAAATCAGGAAATGTATCCTTCTGGAGGATAAGCTAAACTTCAACCTGTATATAAGAAGTATTTATGCAAGATCTGTGACTGTGCTTGAGCAAGCCATATGACTGTATCTTGTTAGACAGAGAAATTTTTTCAGACTTTTAGTGCTCTTATACAGGTTCTTATCTTCTGCGGGTAGACTTTCTTACTGAACTTTATGTTTATAATCATACATGTTTGTCTGCCAGTTCCATGCAGGAAAGACCTAAAATCAAAGGATATCAAGGCTTTAGTATTATCTTTTGGCTGCGTGCCTGGGTCCATCATTGTGAAATGATACAACTTCCAGAGCCCTGTTCTAGATTGAATTACTGTATTTAGTTTATATTAAACCTTTAAGCTTATGTATCTCTACTACAACTGTGAGATCTTAACATGTACTCCGGTGCTTGGTTCTTGTACCCAGGTGACATACATCTATCATCTGTTATCATTTTATTGGGACGCCCTTTCTATATTTCTTTATAATTATTTTACTAGAAATGTGCTAATATGTCATTTACAGTTCCTGGTCTCATTCCAATTTCTGTTGATGCTGCACTCTCTCAACTTTAGGTACTTAAAATTGTTAGATCTAGTGGCAGGGGCTTGTAGCTTTCTATATCAAATTTTTGACGTGATCCAATATGTAGTGTGATAGTAATAAGTGGGAGCCTGAGTTCCTATTGTGATCATTCATTTATGAATATTGTGTCCAAGTATATCATTAAAGAGCGTTGTCTTTATTGGTAATTTTGTAAGATATCGGCATGTTTCTTTGGAATCTTCATAGTACTTTGTATCCTCTATTTTGTATATTGATTAGCTGATTGCAATGTTTTCTCATGCTTCTGCAGGTCAAAATCTGACTGGTTTGGCTGGCAGTCCAGCTTATGTTGCACCAGAAGTTTTGCTAGGAAAGTATTCTGAGAAGGTGGACGTCTGGAGTGCTGGTGTCCTCCTACATGCACTCTTGGTTGGCATTCTTCCATTTCAAGGAGACTCCTTAGAAGCAGTTTTTGAGGCAATCAAGAACGTGAAACTTGATTTCCATTCAGGGATATGGGAGTCAATTTCGAAACCTGCTCGGGATCTTATTGGGAGAATGCTGACAAGGGATGTTTCAGTACGGATAACAGCAGATGAAGTACTAAGTAAGTTTGTGGTCATGCCTAATATGAGAAGTTTTAACTATGTGCAACCTCTTTGATTAGGTTTATGCAACCCCTTTTCACACATGTTTGTAAAAAGTTTCATATTCATTATCTGGGACGTGCTTATATGCGATCTGTTTTGTGTTGGAGGAAAAGTACAACTAATTAGCATGTCGATGGACGTTTACTTCTATAACTTGTCAACCATTGCCTTCTATATGATGCTTGTTCTCAGATATGTGTCATCTAGTGTTTTTGAAATATATTAAGATGCCTTTCTTTCCCTCCTCCATTCTTTACAATTATGCACATGCTGGTTGACTAGTTACGGTAGTACTTTTGGGACTTTTTAAGGAATGACCACCTAGCAGACTGAAATGAAATACTGTATGACAATTTTTTATTATAAATATAGTTAGAAATAAATTATGTTACTTGTTATTTTTATTTTGGTTTACCAAAATCTTTCTTTTCTCTTACAGAGTATTTATTCTTCATTTTTCTTAAATACTTCAATTGGTACACGCATGAAATTGGCCAATTTGGCAGCTTTTTGCTCAATTTCTCGTGGAGAGAAATTATTATCAGTACTGAGTCAAGTGTTAAGCCAACCCTGATTACTCAACATTTATAATACTTTGTCCTTGTTACATCTCTCTCTTGACATTGCAACAAAGTGTATTGTGTTTTCTGTTGATCTTTATGTTATGTATTTCTTTTGCAAGTTTTAGTGGTCCAAACGAATGACACATATTTGGGTTTTCTCAGGGCATCCATGGATATTGTTTTATACTGAGCGAACACTAAAGGCACTACCCATTAAATCAAGATTGAAGAACCAAGCAGGAGAACCTTCTCGCCAGCTTGTCATTCCACCCAGACTCAAGGCATGTCTAAACCAGTCAGAAGATGGCTCTCTCAGTGAAACTTCAGGTCTCCTTTCGTCTTCTGATAGCTGCAAGTCAGAAGATGAGGACGATTCTGGTTTGGTGGACGCACTTGCCACTGCAGTTTCACATGTGAGAATTTCTGAGCCAAAACGGAGCAGGGTATGCGGTCCGACAGGTCGTCCAATCGAGCAGCAGTGTTCATCTAACATGAAAGCTAACAACCTCTGTAAAGCGTTTTGACCCTGCTGACAACCTGACACCTTCAATCATTATCTCCACTGTTTTTAAGCTGGGGAATTGAAAGTAACCTCCCGGGTAATTTTCAGTGAGCAAAGATAACAACTTGACATATGTCGACTGGATCGAGGTAGTAGTTTGGGTGTCGTTTACAATATGCCTGTGAAATCTCTCCGCAACTCTTCTTTCTCTTTCATATTTCTTTCCTTCAACCTAATAATGATTCTAACCTGATGAAGTGAGAGAATCCATGTACAGAATGAATGTGTAAATAGGATGCTGCATTGTATTTTGATATGTTTTCTCATCACTTGTATAATAGGTAAGAATATGCTAGTTATTCTTGGTGTTTGAAAAGGTGTGTTTTCTTGAGCGAAGGCCTTCCACCTGTGAGTTGTTCACACATTGTGATCTTAGTATAGCAGTGTAGGTAAATGATCTCATTTTTATTCCTGCACCATTATTTTGTGTTATTGTTATTAAAATGCCACGCATGAAAATTAAAATGCACGGCATGTTATTGGTTCGGAAGGCCACGGTGGCATCCCTTGAGCGCAGGTTATTATTTCACCTTCTATCTATGGTCATTTCTATGGGTTTGTAGCATATAGGTGTTAATGCTGGGCACTTTTAGGCCCAAGTAGTGGTGCATGCCATAAAGGGGTCATGAAATGCCCAAAAGAGTTTGAGAAGCTCAAAGACCATGGGATGGGCTTAGAGGAAGATACTTCCGAGAGCTAGATCCGACATCCTATAAGCTCAGCCCAACCAGAATGTGCGAAGATCTTGGCGAGCGCCAAGGGCATGTGGGTCACGCTGACAACTTTATGATGTGTGTCTCCAAGGATAGGTCTACTCAAACGTCAATCAAAACATGTGGCGATCCTCTATTAGTGGCAGTATCTAACCCTCTTGGCCTTGAAAAGGCGCGCCATCTTTGACTGAACACATGTCATTTCACTACCAAATATTGGATGGATAGGTAAAAATGTGTCAGGACGCTAGTCTACATTAGCTAATTAAATGCCACATGGGGAAGATCCAAGGCTGGGGGTTCATTGAGGACCTATATAAAGGGGCTAAAGACTTATGGAATGGGGATCGAAGAGAGAGAGAGTTAATGCATTAGCCGAGCACTATTTTCTTAACCTTGCAATCAATATAATTAGAGTACCATAAAGGGATGTAGCCTAATGTTGAGGGTGAATGCCCTAAATCTTTGTGTCCATTTCATTTTAGCTCATATTCCAAGCCCACCAAGGGTGTACTATTTTAATTTTTTTTCCTCCAAGTTTTCAGCTGTTTGGGCCCAAAGTAATATTTTAGGCCGAGCTGAGAGTCATTCTAGGCCCATTAACATTCATCTAGAATTTTGTCATGGGCTGTCCAGTCAAGGTCGGTCGAATCCTATTGCTAGAAGGATTGGTTTAGATAAAGGAGAGGTAGTCGAACCCTAGTACAACAATGAGTCTTAAAGCTAAAGGTGCTTAGAATTAGGAATGAATCTGGTTTGTTAAAGAGCGTGGTTCAAAGTCCTATAGGAGTTAGGATTGGTCGAAACCTGATCAGATTGTGATGAGGAGTTCTAATTCAAGTACATCTCTATTTCGGTATAAATAGATAAGGGAGAGCATCATTCAAGGCCCCTTTAAAATCAACACACAAATTGCCTTGCGCAAAGCTTCTTAACAACCTTGAGATTTTTCTTCTTCCATTTTCTTCCCGCCAACATATATTCAGTTTGATAAACAACACTGTGAAGGCAACCAACAACATCTTCAGTTTAGATAGACAGCACTGGAGCCGCATAATCAGCCTACCGAGGAGCACTTTCAATTTGGATAGACAACACTGCTTTGAGGCCGATTGGTTATTTATCAAAGTCTCGGCCAATAAAGGTTTTTGAGTCCTTGTTGGTGGAGGTCATCTTATTAGCCTTCTCGGTGAAGTGAGGTGTTACGAGTTACTAGGCTCGGTACATTAAATGCCTAGTTTTATTTTATGATTGGATATTCACAAGTACATTTTAAAGTTCGGCATTCCGACGGTCGAACCACATTTACTCTCAAGACATTTATCTCTTTCAAGAATTTATGTCTGTATAGTTCGATATTGATTCATCATACTTATACTCTCATGAATATAATGATCGAGACCGAACCCAGTGCCAACTATTTGTGAACTTCGCAGAACTAGCAGCTTTGTCGTCAGGCTGTAGACCCATTCCTTCCTCGGCTGTAGTCGCAATATTGAGAAATTAGCAAAGCACTCTACGTGACATCAACATATTTTACCCCTCGACCGAGCTCGGCCAATGAGTTGGCACGCCCCACACACAATCAAATGACATAGTTAGCTTATTAGTTACTCGGCATGCACACCATGTAGGCTTGGTAGTTTTTAAGATCAACATTTTGGCACGCCCAGTGAGACCCATTGCTAAAACTACGAAGTTCATGACCATTGAAACACGATCAGTAAAAAAGAAAGCAGTAATGGGTAAGTCAACAACTAATCTTCCACTAACAATCCAAAACCCAGGACATGATGGTTTGCCACAGGCACAAAATCCTTCCGCTGTTGTGACACTTGAAGCCATAAGTGCAACACGCTGAGAAAAAGAAGTTAATCTCGGCGGTCAGACCCGTGATGTAGAAATCCCTACCAAAATGATAAAAGGCATTTTTGTCGAAGGATTAGTGGAGGATTGTGACGAGGACGGTGATGAGGCCTCCGATCCACAATCTAGATCTTTTCTCCAGCGACGATTTGAAGAACAATCCTGGTAATTTGAGCAAATTTTCAGCCGAGAAGTAAATAGCATACTTGAAGAAATGTGTGATAATAACGTTGTGCATAATAGATTGCTCGAAGTTCTAGTTAGTAAAGTCCATGACATTGGACCCACTGATCGATCCAGGCAGCCTCTTCTAAAGAATAACCCCCTGCCAGCGATAACAGGCTGAGACAGGATTTGCTCGGCTCAAAATGATTGCCTTAGAGAAAAATGGTGAATCAAGTAGCATATCGAACAAATTTGACCAATTAGTAGAAACAACATATGTTGACATGGTCGAAGCCCAGATGATGATTGATTCGACCTTAAAAAAGGGGCCGAAGTTTCCAAAGTTCATTCACCTATACCTAGCCTTTATAGAAATGTTTGAGTATCCTAAGGTGTTCAAGATTCCAGACTTCAACCTTTTCACTGGAGAATTATCCTTATCCTTATTAGAACACGTGACTCGATTCACTGCTCAATGTGGAGATGTCAACAATGACTTTAATAAACTACGACTATTCAATTTCTCGTTGACCGACTCAACATTCGCATGGTACATGAACCTCCCACCTAACTCTATCCAAAGCTGGGAGGAATTAGTCGAGAAATTTCATGAGCAATTTTATCGGCCAGGGATGGAAATGTCAGTCTCTTATTTGGCTAAGATAATTCAATCATCCGACGAGTCACCAACGGACTATCTTACGAGATTTAAGTCGGCACGAAACTAGTGCCGAGTACCCCTCCCTGAAGTCGAGTTTTTTTTTAATTTTTTTTCTCGAACTAAAGTTGAGTTTGTTAGGGCAGTAGAGTACAAAACGAAATTCTTGGGGGCAAACTTCCGAGATATGTACAAATTGGCTTAACATGTTGAGCAATATGATTACAGAGAAGATCTCAAAGTCCCCAACCCGAGGGACAATCTACAAGAACCCAACGGTAAGTTATGCATAGGTCGAAGGTGAGGAGTCTCAATATGCCAGTATAGATGCAGCCGAGATAGTCATTGACAAACCGTATGTGTGCAAAGCGTTGGCTCACGCTAGCTCTAAAGATGTCAAAACCCACTCGACCTTTGTGGAAGCCGCTGTCAAGACATCAAAGGTCTATACTTTCGACATCACCAAGGCCAACGCTATCTTCGACCAGTTGTTACTTGCAAAAATTGTCAAGCTTTGGCTAAGGCATAATATTCCTAAGGCCGAATATTTGAAAGGAAAAATGTATTGTAGTACCATAACTCAAACAAACATACGATAAACAATTGTGTCGTATTTCGTGAAGCCATCCAGAGCTGGATCAACAATGGTAAACTTAAGTTTCCCAAAAAACAAATGATCGTAGAAGTCGATCATTTCCCTTCGGCGATGGTAAGCTTGGTAGATACTCTACTACCCAGGGACAAGGGAAAAGGAAAAGCCGAGTTCATCCCAATGCAGTTCGTCCTTAAGCGAAACTTTTGGCCACGATTGAAAATTGATCTATCTGCCAACGGGCCACCTAAATACTTTTCCAACCTAGCTTATGTCAAGTCAATGTCGGACTCCAGTGCAGAGGAAACTAACGGGCCGATGGTTTTATGTAGTCGGTGAAAATCAAACGTCATCTTAACGGAGCCAAAAGAAAAGCCATGTCTGGTTCAAACATCGCAACCAACGTTTGCAACTGTAACATCTCAAAAAGTGCTAGGTGCAGGCCAACACCAGAAAGTTTTCGACAGGTTCGCCCTCAAACATAGAATAGTAAGCCGTATTTGGCCAGACTGTGACTTGATTTCGACATGCCATTTTACAATGAAGAGTGTTATACGCGCAACTCTTGAAGAATCCGAGAAGCGAATCAAACTCATTCTTCGACCTAGGGAGATATAAGCTCGCCTTGAGCACTTCCGGAAGGAAACCGAGAGCAAACTCCCTTCATTACCCCCATAAGAGCTATTAATTAAAGTCCAACGGAATCTCCACTCGCTGTTTCTTGGTGAAGCTTTGTAATACATGCTGGAATTTCACAAGAAGCATTCGGTGAATGACTTGTACAACTCGCCAAAAGCATGACAAAAGGCTCTTGATCTAGCGCTAGCTTGCCCTGATGCTAAGCAGATCATCTAAAAGACCACGGATCTAGGGATGAAGGCTAGGTTCTAACATATACGCGAGGCCTGAGGTCTCATCTTTGAGGTAGACCCATATACTGATATTGATGCTGCCGATCTCCCTTTCTCTCTTACGGCTGATGAAAAAGAACGCGTGGCACGATTAGACGTTTACCTGGACATGAGAGACGTCCGCATCGCATATCAGTAGCAGACTCGTAAGGTTTCACAAGAGCAAGACCAAGTCCTAAAGCTGAGCAAGCCTGAGATCGACATTGAGAATGAAATGACTTCAACAAACATGCCGCAAGAACGTATTCTCACGATAGCCAAAAAGATCAAACGAGTAATGCCTATGAGCAAGATACCTTGCCCGAAAATCCAGAGGACGAAGATCACGACCCGATGGGCCATTCGGTCAACATGGAAATCAGCATGGTCCATGTCTTACCTAACGAGTTCCGGCCAACCACATCCCAACCAAATTTCCTAGACGGCGACGTGGTTGTC